AAAAACAAAGAGGCAGCAGGCCAAATCTGGCCCTCAGATCATAGTGTGCCAGTCTCTACTATAAAATCTCAATGCATGCTTTGATAATACTTAGTGACCTCACTTCAGCGTGAAGGCAAGCATGAGAGAAGATAGGGAGATTTACCTTGGGGAAAAAAAAAGAGAGATGAAGAAATGATGAAGTGCAAAGGCTTGCAGATGACTCACAAACATCAGACTGCGCAAGATGAGCACTTCAAGAAGGATGTCAAAAGACGGTGGACATGGTGAACACCAAAACAACGTCATCAAAATGGAAAAAGACTTATCTGAGACTCGAAGCTATTCTGGTCTTCACTTATTATGCTTCTGTACAATGAGAGGGTTGGCTCCTTCCAGTTCAAACACTTATTCCTCAATCATGAGGTCAGGAGCAGTTGGAGAAGGATAGGACCCTTTATTCTGGAAGGAGGAGACAACTCCTCTGGGACTATGGATACAATTACATTTGTATACTGGCAACGACCTTTGAAGACGTTGAGTTATGCCTTATATCTTAATACATATGTAAGAATCAAGTGTTCTCAGTTCTGCAGACATGAGACATGAATCAGGTCAATGAAAGCCGGTACAGATGCCTTCCATAACCATAATATTTCCTCATGCATGCATTTATGCATGCATGCCTTTGTAGAGGGGGAAGAAGCAAAGAAGAATGGAGGGCAGTTTTGATTTTATTTTGAAAAGGAAAAGGTCTAAACAAAAGAGTGGGTCACATGAACAGGAGATTTTTTAAAAAAATTTAAGTTCTTTTTTTTAAAAGATTGAAAGAAGCTTAACTTTAGTAAGGGAGTTTATCTTCTCTTTAAAACCAGGTATTTATTTAAATGGCAAAAGAAAAATAGCTACTGTAAGAGCTGTATCTTCAGATTCAAAGTTCTGCTCAAGCTATCACACCCCAAGGTAGCAGTCCCTAACACAACGATTCCAGCTCTTAGGAATTCCACTATCTATAAGACCTCCCTCCAGTACTAGGCTCTGCAGAGGGTTCTGTAAAACAATTTTTAAAAATCTTCCCTAATTTTGCTTGGAAAACTCTTTAATTTATGGAATCATAAAATTTAGATCTGAAAGGGTCTTAGAGGTCATCTAAAGGGCTGGTAGGGGTAAAAAAAAAATTCTCATAGTATAACTTTCTGAACAGCTACATTCTATCATACAGGGTATCCCCATAATCTTAATGCAGTTTTAAACTCAAGCTTAATATGTAGATAGGAATGTATCCCTATATATGTGTGTATGTATAAATATATATATGTCTATATTTATATCCATATTTGTCAGGAAGACTTGAGTTTGAACCCTGCCTCAGAGACTGGCAGTGTGACCCTGGGCAAGTCACTCACACACTCCTATAAAATGAAGAGCTGGAGCATCATGATGGCATCTGAGGTTCCTTTCAGATCTAAATCTTCCCCTTAGACACCCCCTTTCTTGTTCATTGATCGCTTTTAAGGTGATTTTTGCTTGGTTTTAGGGGAAGGACAAGGAAGGAGAAAAGAAGGGTAGGAAAGGCAGAATCCTGATTGGATTGGGGCCTCACAACACCAGCCTGCGCATTCGCTGGTTTACAGGCCTAACGCTCCTATGCTCACTCCACAGGCTCCGTCACCTACAGAGATCGAGTCCAGGTTTCAGGCCAGACTACGATAGTCCTGGGAAGGCCCACAAGTACCTTAGGTTTTCTCTGTGTTATGGAGAGATTGTATAGGATTATAGAGCTGGAAAGGAACTTAGAGACCAATCAGTCCAGCTTTTTCATTTTATAGAAGAGGAGGCCAAGGCCCAGAAAGATTAAGCTTCTTGTCCAAGGCCTCTCAGGGACTAAGTTACAGACTGAGGATTTAAACCAAGATCTTCTTACTCCAAAATCCCATTTTTCTCCCCAAATACAGCTAACTTCACTAGGTCAAGGGAGCTATTGAAGGAACAGGTGAATTCAAGTCATTCACCATGGGTCAGGAAAGGCATGGGTTCAGGCTAGGTACCTAGAACAGCATGGAACCCTTTTCTGATGGGAAGCAGAGGGTCTCTTGTGCATGCCAGATCTGTACCCAAGGATGATTTTTTTGGTATACAACATATAAATATTTTCAGGACTCTGGTGAGGTAGGTGAGGGATTGGCGCCAATATCTCTCTTTCTAGAAAGAGGGATATGATAAGACAGAAAAGGAATCCGACTTATCTAATACTCTAACAACTGGTCAGATTATTGAAAATGAAGAAAGGAAAACTCACACGAGATAAGAAACACTTGTTAAATCCTGCTACTGGGTAAAGAACAGGGATAACGTTTTATCTTGTATACATGTTGCTTGGACATAGCTTTTCGCATGTTGTCTCCCTCATAAGAATGTGAGCTCCTTGAGGGCAGGGATTGATTTTTGCCTTTCTTTTTGTCCCCAGGGCTTAGCACAGTGCCTGACACATAACGAATGCTTGTTGATAACAAGGAATTATGAAAAAATACCACATGTTTCTCACGACAAAATCCCCCTTGTGAGATTCCTTCCTGTCTTTGGAGGCTGAAAGATGGAATCGTTATTGGCAAGTGACACTAATACCTGGGGGACAGAAGCGTAACTTTAGGGCCTGGCAAGGATGGATATCTGCATAACAAGACAGTATGAGCTTACTCAACCATGTCTACAGTAAATCATAAACAGATGTGGTAACATCTGTTATAATTTTTTTTTTTTAAAGAAAGGGGAGGGGGCATATTCAGAACCTCAGTCTAAGTCTCTGATCAAGAAAGACTATGCCAGACTATGAAATTCCAGGTAGCTGATTCTTGCCAGTCTTGCTGAGATCCTTCCCCCTTCCTTACTGGGAATGAATTAATTGCTCTCAGTGTCTGAGCATTTGTGCAGGCTGGTTCCCCCTCTGTCCTAACCTCTACCTCTTATTCCCTTCAAGGCTCAGCCCAATCTCCATCTCCTTCAAGTGGCGCTTCCTAATTTCCTGAGTTATCAGTGTTCTTCCTGACTCCCACCTCCCCACATCACTATGTATTTATTTTGCATACCTAGCTTGTATTTACTTATCTGAACGTACTATAAGCCCCCAGGAGACTACATATTCAGTCTCATCTTTGTGTCCCCAGGTGATAAAGGCCTTGCAGTACTTGGGACATAGGCACTGAAAAAATACTTGTGGACTGATTATCCTATACAGCTTGGTTCCTAATTACATTGTATTTAGCACTTTAACATAAATTGTTCTATCCTGGTTTCTACTTGTTTCACGTATGCCTAACTAAACTCTTTATGGACAGTGCTACAGGATGAGAGTCTAATAACCTGGGATCCAGTTTGAGTTCTGCCCCTAAATAGCTGGGTAAAAGAGGGAGGTGGGAAGACAAACAGAGTAAATTTGACCTTTAAGATCCTTTCTGGTTTTTAAATTCTATGGTTGTAGCAACCACATCATATGCTTTTTGGTACATCCACAGGACTTGGCATAGTGCTAGGCACGTCATGGATGTTCGACAAATACTTCTTTCTCACCACCTTTGGGTCAATGGACTCTCCCATTACCATCCTTGAATCCTTGAGAATTCACTACTTTCATGGTTTCTCATATTTTTGTACTGGAATTTCTTCATTTTAGTGATTCTGCAAATAAAGCCTTAATCACAGAATATAAAGATAATCATAAAAGATGCCTAAAAATATTTTATACTCTAAACAAGCAACTTCACTAAGGAACCCATTCTTTGGCCCCTATTTGACTCCCTTTGCAGACCAAGAAAATCTGAATTATTGGGCGTGAGTCACTTAAGTGAGTGTACTTCAGTGAAAATGTAATTCTTAGGTTACAATCAATATTGAAATAGGACCTATATGCCCATGGAGATGCATCTATCATTATGTCTAATCACCTGGACATTTCCAGAAGAGAAGCAGAGGAACTCTTCACTTATACAGTTTGGATTACCCTGTAATATGAACCAGCATGGTCAGTCGGGGCCTTCTCATACTATCAACTCAAAGCTATTATCTATTTCATGTTCAAAGAACTAAAATTGTCCCCTATTGTCTCTAATGAAAAATCATTTCTACTGACTTTTATTAATGGCCACCCTAAAAGACATGAAATGTGAAGTATTATTTATTTTAGTATTCCTACTTATAGAATGATTAGAGTTCATCCTACATTGCTAAGACTACAATGGACTCAAGATAAAGGTTATTAACAGGGTTGCTTTTTATTTCTATATAAATGTTGACGCAGTACTCTTTAAACAAGTATTAATTCATTTTTTTGGAATCCCAACCATGTGAGGAGAATAAATGTTAAGAACTGTGGTGGGTATTCAGTTGAGGAAACTGAGACACAAAAAATGTAGTCATTTGCTCAAGGCCACACAGAGTGTCAATGTTGATACATTTTTATTAATAATAGTGACTGAAAAATAATTAGTGAGGCAGCAAGGTGGCATAAGGGATAGAGCATTGGACTTGGAGTCAGGAAAATCTGAGTTCAAATCTTACCCTAGACACTTACTAGCTGTGTGATCCTGGGAAAGTTACCTAATCACTGTCTGCCTTAGTTTCCCCATCTGTAAAATTGGAGTAATAATAGTGCCTACCTCCCAGGATTGTTGTGAGGATCAAATGAGATACTATTTATAAAGGGCTTTATAAACCTTAAAGCATTATAAAAATGTGATCTATTTAATGTTAACATTGGGAAACTGGATTGAGACAGCTCAATTTATTTCATGTACAGGACTCAGCATTCTCTAATTTAATTTATAGTAATTCAGAATGAATATGAACTAACACCTATACGCAAAAATAATTCGTATCTCTAATCCCTTTTTGCAACCTGTCTCACAGAACTGCAGTGCCTATTCACATATTTATAGGAAAAAAAAACACCAAACCCTTCAGTCTTCTTATCGATTGCTGATAGAATAGACACGACTGTATGATCCGATTCCCCACCCCTTACTTACTTGTATAACAGAATGTCTGCAGCTTGAAGTACTGGGTATGTGAAGAGACCCACTGTCCCCTCTTGCTTCAGGCTAGCATTCTTAGTCTGTGAGGAAGAACAAAAGGGTAAAAAATGTTCAGACATCTGCCTAATCATTCTATTGAACTATGGGCATTTTTAAACCCAGGGAAATAGCATAGTAAAGAGGAAAGAACAGAGGAGTAAGAATAGGGAGGCTTGGGTTCTAGCCCCAATTCCGTTATGTACTCTCTGTGTGATCTTGGGAAGCTCACTTAATTTTTCTGAAATGCAGTTATTTCAATGGTGAAAATGGGTATAATAAACTTTCCTGCCTATCTCACATATTTCTAGTACAAGGAACCAGGGAGATGTGGATGAAAATTCTCTGTAAACCCTGAGGTGTAAATCAAATGTAAGAAATCCATTTAATGAGAATTTATTAACCAGTTATGGTGTGCCAAGCACCGAAGTTACAAAACCAAAAATGAAGCCCTTTCTGCCTTTGAAGAGTTTATGTTCTATTGCAGGGAAACAACACACACTTGCATAAGCAAATACAAAATCTATAGAGCCCACAGAGGACGTAGGAGAGGATACGGATAAGACACAGAATGTGCAATCTTTCCCATAAGAGAAAGTAGCCATCTTGACAGGATCCCAGATACACTGACATATTGAAGGAGAAATGCCTTATGGGATAATGTGCTGAGAGACAGTCAGGACTGATGAGGAATACTGAAAAGGAGAGCTGAAGAGTGAAGAAGTGGTAAGTGCCATCTCAGACTTGTCAAGGGGGAAGGCACTCTGATTTGAGATGATGAGAACCATACTGAACCTTAGGGCTTCAGAGTGCTGCCATTTTGTTTCTACCCAGGGATATGGAAAGAACTGGCAACACTGCCTCTCAATTAAGCACTGGCACCTCAACATACTATTTGTTTTTCTCTGTGTAGTTCCTGTTTGGGAGTATCGATTTCAGAGGAAACCATGAGAGCCCTGAAAGCTTGCAAGGTGGAAAGATGCCTGCAAATGGGATCAGTGCTGACATAGTTGTAGGCTCTCTAATTTTAGACTATCATATTGCAAAAATAAATGGAAGTAAAGTGCTGTGAATTATCCCAACTTAACTTATTTAGTTGAGCTTCCTTGAGAAAGTGTAGCCCTCATTTTACTGCGGATTTGAACTGTTGCCTGGACGCATCTTGTTTAAATGTTGCATAAAAATGTTATTTCCCTTCTCCCCACAATGAACACATTCTTGCCTTGCCACCAATTAGTTCTGGTGGGGATGGAACACAGATTCCAAGGGCAATGGATCCAGACTGTTAATCATAATAGGGAGGGTTCAAGGTCATTAGCAACTCAAACAAAAAGCAGACTGGGTCATCCATTGTGAGACTCAGAGTAAGAAAAACCATAGATTCATAGAATTGTTAAGCTTGAGGGGTCTCGAGAGTCTAACTACGTTATTTTAACTGTGGCCTAGAGACATTAGGTGACAGGCCACTAAAGAACTTGCCAAAGTTAGCACGGCTACTTAGATGAGCTAGAAGCTGATGTTCTTGTGATATGGTGAGACAGGCCAATTTAGTGGATAAAACAGAAGAATATAGAAAAGAAAAACTTCCATAATGGTGGCATTTAAGTCCATTTTAGGTTTCTTGCTTTGAAAACATTTACCTTCCACTGGGGAAAATTTTCTAACTGTGGCATCCTGACCAGACATCCAAGGATCCAGCTTAATTCTGAGTGCTCTGACACCTAAAGAAAGGAGAAATTACATTATAAATATATTGTGAATATTTTAACATATATTAAATAATAAGACAAGGGTAATCAAGCATAGTTATCTCTAAACCCCTAGAATACTCAATAATTGAGATTGCAGAGAAGAAAAAGGGGCACGTGTGTGTGAGAGTGTGTGTGTGTGTGTGTGCATACGTGCGTGTGTGTGTTTTTACTATTACATCTAAATGCTAGAGAAAGGTGCTGGAATGAAAATCACAGAAACTTGAGCCATTTGGTTTAGGAATCAGTCAGAGAAGTAGCAGAGACGGTGTTCCCACTCTTAAGGAATATTTCTTTTCCATAGTTTTCTTTTTCTTTTCACTGTGGCCTCCCCCACTCTCCAAAACTAGTAAAAGGGCCAACTTAAGGCTATAAGTCTCTGAGCCTTGTGAGCTGGGCCCCAGTCAACCAGGGAACGGATTGGGAGCTCCTCCAAATTATTTCCCCAAATTCACTGAATTTATGAGGGGGTTCTCGTCAAAAGATTTTGTTAAAAGCTGGAAACAAAGTTGGGGGTGACTCTTGGGTCCAGGACAAATTCCTTCTGATGATCTAGAGTTTTATTTAGGGCAGGGCATCCCATCCCCAGTCCTTGGGATTCCAAGTCCTTCATTAACTGCAGCTTCTTCTTATCCATATGATTGCCTTAAAAAAGCAGAGATTGCTTCCAAGTCTGAAAAGTGACACCAAATGTGTTCCTTGTGGGTTTTGTGAAGTGAAGAGAGAGAAATGACATTGCCTCAGCTCAGGCTTGTTTCACTAAGGAGGATCCACCATCTGGAGTAGGAGGGTTTCCTTTTTTTCCCCCTACTAGCCACAGAGAAAGAAGGTTGTTTTTCACTTGTTTGACAAGGACTCCCTCATAAAGCTGTGCAAGTCACTGAGCTGCCTCCATCATCCTCCTTCCAAAGCAGCATTTGGGTTTCATTGAGGGCAGTGGCTTTGACAACAATGTCTGCAAATTGCTAACTGCTGCTGTAAACAAACATCTGTCAGACAAAAACTGGGGCCTTGGCTATAGCAAAATATACTCCCATTAGAAATTAATAAAATAAGAGCTCTATTTGGTATGGGGTGGGGGAGGCTGTGGTGAGGGAGAAGTTGCTTTTTCCTTAATGAGTTGGGTTGAAGGAATGAAAATATGGACAAACACATATGGAAATATGGGGGAAACCAAGAAAATTTCCTCCTTCCTGCCTAGATATGATGCTTTATCGATGGATTGCAAAAAGCCACCACTGTGTCTCAATGAAGTCAAGTGTTTTCCTTGGAGAAACTTTACATTTGCACATATGGAATGAAACTCATTTAATATTTTGGGGGGGATTCTCTTGGTGTTGCCAAAACAGGGGAAATCAACTTACTTCAAATAATAATCATAAAGAAAAGTGGGCAAAAGGTCAAAGATAACTTTTTTTCTCATCTTGTTTTTCATAACTGTTTTAGAATAATGACATTATAAGCTTTGGTTCCTTTGCTCACTTTCCATTTGATACAAAACTATAAATATTTTGATTTCTCTGATGGTAAATGTGAAATTTTGCTATCTGAATAGAATATTTGCTGAAATACATTGCAAGAACACAAGGAAAATAACACCAGAGCTTAATACACAGAACCAATCTAATGGTTTTGTGAAAAACTACCAAAACTGTTTAAGATAAGGGAAAACGAAGGCACGGAGTTGACAAAGTGACTTGCTGGATATCCACATGGAAAATTAAATGTAGTGATTGGCTTATAACTGAAGATTTCTGTTTCCATCATCCTAAAAATCACAGAATCTTCAAAATCTTCTGTTGTTTAGAAAAGACTCTCATAAAAACAAAACATGCATTTAGTTAAGTGATGAGATATTACTTGGGTAGGAGTATCCTCCAATTTTTTTTTTTTAATACAGTGTCAGTATTTAGTTTAGCAGGTTGGGCATGAGCAAACTAACAATTTGAAAAGTGAACATCAAATAGTTACAGCACATTAGATAGAAGGAACTGGTCAGGCCAGAGGTGGGGTTAGGCAACACAGCACAAAAGATGCTATCAAAGAAATGTACAACCAGGAAAAAAAAAAAAAAAAGATGGACCATTCACATAGTGGAGAGAAAGAAATGACGAGTGGATGACCCACAAGTTCCACTGGTATCCACACAAATTAAGAGATTTACTGGAGAGTCTCCAGCAGGTAAATGGACACCTTGGGGTAGATTTAGGAGAGGATATAGATCTGTGAACTATAGGCAATTTTGGATGGCTTACAATCTGGACCCCTGGAGGGAGAACTCACACTGATGAGAACATAGATCCATCCAAGTACCAAGGTGAAGTGTTAGTTTGAATTGGGGACAAAAAAACAACTAATGATATTTGTGTCATGCCTTCCCCATCAGTGCCTCACATACATCATGACAGAAAATCTGCACATAATGACTGTTGGCATTGTAATCTTTGAAATCAATTATGACTGTAGCTTGTGGTTGATTCTTGCACTAGACACAGCCTCTGCCAATGCCAATGGCTCATAATCACAAACAGGCTGATCTCGAGGTGAAAACAAGAGCGGGGAGGGGGGAAATATGGCAACCTGAGAAGCGTATCCAACAAAATCACTGGCTCTGATGAGGAGCCAAAGGTTTCCCAGAGTTCAAGTAATGCAGGTCTTCTAGTTCCAAGGACAGTTTTGTGAATAAGAATTAAGAAAATTTAGAATGTGAGAAGATGCTGAAAAGAGACAATTGGGCTGAAGAGGAAAAGAGATCCTTCCCCAAACACCTGGGAAGAGCAAAAGAAGCCCAAAACTGGGCCTTCGATGCTGTATCAGATGATGCTAAAAGATACAGCTGCCGGGGATCAATCCAACCCATTCAAGCAATCCCCGAGGGCATTAAAACCTGGATGGGAGCCCTAAGATACTTTCTTGTCTCCCAGGACTTGTCTATTTCCTATGTAAATATTATCTTCCCAGGAAGTATTTCCTGCAGCTTGGCTAAGGATACTTAGAAAACTATTCAGTCTCACAAATTCCCATTTATCACTTCATCTCAAAAACGAGCAATTTCATGCTGAGTTATTTTCACTAGACTCATCATCCCCATGACAAATCTCCTTAGCAGGAACCTTGTTCTGGGATCTGATTTTAATTAAAAGGCTCTTGTATCAACTGATAAACTCTCACACTGAATACAGCCACTGTCTTTAACTGGCCCGCTTCTGATTGGTTTTGCCAATGTTTATCATCTTCTGTACATGCTTGGATTTCCTCAGACTTTTCTCCCAGTCCAACACCTCCAAAGTTCTTGCACAGTCAACAGGGTTCATCTGCTTTACTCCTAACCAAAGGTTACCTTCTCTGCTTTAAGATTTGTTTTTTTTTTCTCATGTCTTTTCTTCTATGGATCTAAAAAATCCAGTACAGTTAGTTCACTTGCCTGCATTAACATAACAGAATTTAGTGATGGATAATTAAAAATGGCAGACTGCATCTGATAATGAATGAAATTATATTTTTGTCATTTGACTTTGGAATCTATTTTCACATTTACATTTGTACAGTACAAGGATAATAATAAACAACATTTACACGTGCCAGGCACTGTATCACCTCATTTGATCCTCACAACAACTCTGGGAGGGAGAGCTATTATTATCTCTATTTTATGGGTGAGTAAACTGAGGCAAATGGAGGTTAAGTGACTTGCCCAAGGTCACACAGTTAGTAAGCGTCAGAGGCTGGATTTAAACTAGGGTCTTCCTGACTCCAGGCCCAGCACTCTATTCACTGCACCATCTAATTGCCTCATAGGAGTATTTCTGATGTTCCTAGAAATTCAAGTAAAACAAAAATAATGTAGTCCTATTACTGGATCATAGAACTTGAGTTGAGTAGACCTTGGAGGTCATGTAGTCCAACCCCCTCAATTGTCAGATGAAGAAACTGAGGCCCAGGGGTGGCAAATAATTTGCCAAAAATCACAAAGCTAGTAAGTATCAGTGTCAGGAACTGAACCCAGGTCTTCTGACTCCAAATCCAGCACTCTTTCCACAGCATCATCCTGAAGTTGGAAGGTGATAAGAGGCTGTACATTTCCCTATGCTAAGCTTTGTTTAAATTATTTCTGAAATCCACTACACATGAAAAAGTAAAATGTCCCCTAAGCCAATTCAAGGAACCAGGTTAATAAGACTTTTTTGCCTTACACCTGGAACAGCATTAGTAATTAAGTGTTTTGGTTTAAAAGAAGTCCCACTCATACAATGCATGAGCAGCAGAACCTTAGAAATCAACAAAGCCAATAATTAAGCCATCTACCTTAGGTGCTACCAAAAAAAATGGAAAGCAAAATTTGCTGGATTACTGATGATCTTCGAGGTAAAGTTATTGCTCTTTGGTCATAAATGGATGTTTAAAAACAGGCAGGATCGACACACTTATGGAACACCCAGTTCCATAATAGTTACAAATAGTCTGCTATTTTAAAAGGCTGAATGACACATTTCCATTGGTACTCCATGTTCTTCTCTTTTACAACCCTGTGAAATGATTGATGAAAATATTAACATTTCCTGCCTAACATATTGTGGTACATAAATGTAGTGGAATATTATCCCACAGTAAGAAATGATAAATATGCATAATCCAGAGAAAGACTGATACCAAGTAAGCAGAGCCACAAAAATAATGTATGTCTGCAACAGCATAAATGGAAAGAACACCAGAAACAATACAAAACAAAACAAAAATAAACAAAGAAATTGAAAGCTCCGTAATAGGCTGACTGCCTAACAGTTGGGCTTGGTCCCAAGGATGAAAGGAGAAGGCCCCCCCTCCATTCTTGGAAAGTTGGGGGCCCACAAGTGTGGGCACTGTCTATATGCTGCCAGACTGAGGAGATGTGTTGGTTGGCCTCTTCTCCCCACTCCCAGCCTAGTTTCCAGCTTTCTTTTTTATTCTTTGTTATAAGAGAAGCCTGACTGGGG